AATTGGAGGCTCTCTTCCTTTTTTTTTTTTTTTTGGACCATCAGTGCTCTTGTTGCATGAATGTAAACACTGTCAGAGAACAGCTGAATTTATAGTTGCCTCCAACAATTCAAATATGGAAATATAGACCATCTTCTCCCTACTGAGACACTTACAGGCTGCACTTCAGTATCTGATTAAATTATAAATCCATTGAAAAAGAAGAGATCATGATAACCATGCTGACAACCACTGATCGGCTACATAGACAATAAAAAGCATTTAAACAAACTATTGCAAAATGAGTATAAAAATACCATGGATCCATTACCTTTGTGGTCTTCTTAGGCCAGCTTACAACAGGGACCCCCGAAATGGCCAGATTCTGATCATCATCTGCATGTTCCTTCAGAATGGTCTGTTTCAAGTGAAAGCAGCATAATTAGTAACAGAGCTATTTTGGAAACTCAGGAGAGCAGATATCAGTGGGACAGAATCAAAAGATCTACCCTGATCAGCAACAGCTTCCTTTTTATCCAGGCTGACCTTGTGCTTCTGAGCAAGGATAGATTTCCAAACCTCCACATGATTCAACTCCAAATCTGTGTGTTGAACTGCTAAGATCCTTGTCATACTCAAAGCAAAGCCTCTTGTGTAGTAACAGTGCCAAAGAATTACAAAGCACATCAATACTATTAACGGAAAACAGAATCCTGACGTTCCATACGGAAAACGGCACAGCGCTGTGCTTGTTGCACACCGTTCAGAAGGACAGAAAGCGTACTGACTTAATCACTAAAAACCAAGGAAGACACTGGAAGGATCCTGCTCCATTACAGCTTCCTCCAGCAGTTCTTCAGCATCGGCAGCGTAGGACAAAGCTACTGTCACAGTGTCAACGTGCTTCACAGCACACGAGACAAGGTAGAGCATGGCAAATTGTAACTTGTCAGCTCCCTACCTCACTTGGATTAAGCACACTAGCACGGCCGTTATCTACAGTATGGAAGGGTAGCCAAAGAGGTGAAATCTGCTCCAGTTTATATGAATGAGGTAAGGCCCTCAGGGTCCCAAGCACTTACTAATGTTGATTCTGGAGGTGGGCAGCCTAGACGCAGGGTACCAAGAAAAGAGACTGGCTTTACACTGAAGGTTTTTGCTCCAGCATGCTGTAGTGGAAAGCTCACAGGTGCGTTTCACTGAATCATACAGTTTCTGCCACTGGGATGGTTTTCATTACCGTGTAACTCAACATAGACACCGAACAGCACTCAGTTATTTAACTACAATAAATGGTGATAGTAAGAATATCTCTGCTCTGCTCCCTGTGGCTATTCCTGTATTTAAAACCTGAGCTGCAGAGCCCCCACTTTGGGTTCAGGTAGCTATAAAGCAAGCACCGGAAAAGTCAGAAGTCTAATAAAGATTCCACTAATCTGCTGAAGACTGAAGCCAGAACAAGCCTTAATAGGTTCAAAAAGAAATCACTCCAATAAAGTAAACAGATCTGTGGGTTGAAAATTACCTCATATTTGAACTGACAAGATAACCGCAGACAATGGATGTCAATGGTGTTGCTCCTGATTACACCAACTTCTTGAAGAAGCTTAATTAGATAACAATAGACACTAGGCACTCTCAGTCCCCAGGGCAGAGTTTTAATAATTAGAAATTTCAAACAGTATATAAAAAGGAGCTTAAAATACAGTAATTGTTTGAATAGGAAACACGCTCAAAATAACACAAAGCAGTTACACACACTGTCCCCTTGTAATGATCCAGCCAAAGTGGGCAAATGGCACTTGTGTGTCATAGGGCCAGGGCCTGGCCCTCTTCCCAAACTGAGCACAGTGGGCTCTGGCACACGCTCCGATATGCCGCGAGATCGCCTACCACGGCAGGGCAGGATGCCATATGTGGATCTGGTTCTAAGCACCACGGGGGAGCATTTGCTGGCTCCACAGAGCAATGGACTCACTGGCTAGTGCCCGTGACAGATATGGATAGCAGCATATGGACCTCTGGACTACAGCCCAGTCATATCCCTTTTACTCATATTGCGCTTTAAATGGCATTAGGCAGGCATCTCTCCGAGCTCATTTTGTGAGTGTTGGCAGATTTACAGTCCGGACTGCTCCATCCCACTTTAACTGCAGAGAAACAAGTGGCTGCTTCCAAACTCTCTCTCCTGGTGAAGACAAGCAGGATCCAGCCCCTCTTCTGGCTGTTGCTGTCCCACATGGCTAGACTTAATTATCATACATGCTGCTAAAACTGTTCTCTCTGGAATCACCTTGGTTCAGGCGGCAAGTTGCGTCTGGAGACCAGGGGTATTCAAATAGACACTTATTCACAAGCATCTTTCTTAGTAGTTTACATCTCTGTCCACCCCATTATTATTTATCTGAAGCTCAGAGGCAAAGGCCTCAATCCTATTTCATCTTTCTGTGCTTACATGGCCCTTACTGCGCCACATAACTGCAATTTTTGGCACTTCCACATGGTTTTGATCGGATGCAGCTCTGCTCATTTTGCAGCTCCCTTTCCAGCATGCTCAGAAGGCCACACAGGCACCTGGAGGAACAGAATCACCCAGTGCCAGAGAAGTCCTGAAACCTTAATTACACCAAAAATGTGACTGACGGGAGGGAAAGGCGGCAGGCCTCCTACCTTCAGCCCAAGAGCTAAAGCACATGCTCAGGAGGCAGGAGACCTCTATTCTAGGACCCTTCGCTAAGAGAGGGCTTCAACCTCTCCCAGTTCCCAGCAAAGTGGTCTAACCACCACACTACAGACTAGGAACTGCCTGCAGCTCTCATCTTGAAGCTCACCTCTGGGCAGCCAAGAGGGGAAGATGCATGTGGCCAGGTGGAGATGAACCAGAGAGACAGATGCTGCCCTTGGTATGGGCCCTGTCCGTTGCTGTTTATCCAGTGTATGTTAAACGCAAGGTCTAGTGGACCACCTTCAAAAGGAAGGCTGGGGAAGCAACTGGAAAATGCCCGACGTGTGGCCTGCTGGTTATAGTACTGTGCTAAGAAGTCAGAGACGCAGGTCCAAACTCCCTCTGTGGGGGATGCTAGAACCTAGGTTTCTCACATCCTAAGCCTTAACCACACAGAACGGTCTTCTCACCATGGGCTCATGCTGGCTGAAATGTTGGGCCTATGCCCAGCTAGCATAGCTGCAAGAGTGCCCAGCCAGTCAACAGCCTGCTCAGTAACCATGTGGACATCACCGTATCTTAAACTGTGCACAAGGGCCAAAAATGCCAACTACCTGGCTGAAAAACAGCTATTTGGGCATGCCTGTAAGCGCTCAATTTATGTAAACTACCCCTTAGAAATGGGGCCTTCTCTGCCCTGGAGTTCAAGGGTGTCTCTTTCAGATGAACCCGTATGAAAGACTCTCTCCCCATAAGTTGCTGTTGTACTGGCAGGGTCTAAAACACATTTCTTATGCATAGCACAAAACAGATAAAAACAAAAAAATAAAACGACTCAGTGTGTCATGCAGGATCATTTCCTAATACACCCATAGTCATAGGCCATTTTCTAGAGAGCAGTTCAGCCTCTGTTATGCTCCAATGAAACAATTAACATACTCTGGAAAACAGGATATGGTTAATTAGACAGATGAGAGGAAACCACGATGTTTAGCGATGTGGAGTTTCACAGAACCAACTGGGGCAACTTGCATATGATATGCACCTTCCTGTCTGAAGATCCTATTACTATCACAGGCTCCACTGCTCTGTACGACACACACAACTTTACCAAAGAGGCTGCGTGTAGCTAGGCATCAGGTAGGAGAAACCCTTGGAAGTAGTGTCATTTATTTTGTTGATGAGAATGAAAGCTGAGAAGTAAAGTACACCTGCATAATTCCTGACACACGAGTTCCTAAATCCAGCAGAAGTACTGAATGTGGGCAACAGCCATCAGGAAAGGCACAGAACTTGCAGCCCTGGAGACTGACATCCTGCTGACTAGGAGACATGAAACAGAGCCCCAGGATGAGCATCCCTGCCCTGCCCAGGAGAGAGGGGAGGCTCAGCACTGCCCACAATTTAGGCGGCAAGTCTTGTCTGGAGCCCAGGGGTATTCCAATGGACACTTAGTCACACACATCTTCCTTAGTTTACATCTCTACCCAGCTCATTGCTGCTTGTTAGAAGCTCAGAGGCAAACGCATCAATCCTATTTCATCTTACAGTGCTTACATAGCCCTTACTGAGCTGCATAACTGCAATTTTTGGCACTTCCACCTGGTTTTGATCAGAGGCAGCTCCCTTCCTAGCATGCTCAGAAGGCCACTCAGGCACCTAGGAGGAGCAGAACCCTTACATCTATCTGCCCACAAAGGGGATTGATTCTGCCAGCTGGGACTGTGCTCCAGTGACTTGGGACTCTTGTTCCTGTGAGCACTGAATACAGGCTAACAACAACACCATGCACAGGCCTCCCATCAGTTGTCACTCACTGATCTGGACAAACAACCCAGCAGGAGACACAAATGTAGACGCGGCTCCAGCAGGTAAGAGAGGAGGGGAGAGTACAGCACATCCTGCACTGAGAGCACATCCACATGACAGACAAAGGTGTGGCTAGCTTTCATCTAGCTAGCGCAGACAGCAATAAGAGCGAAGGGCACGGCAACACGGACTTCCGCAGGGCCAGGACCAGACCCAGAGTAGGCATGCAGGTTCCCAAGCTGTTTGTACAGCTTCACGTGTTCCCTGCTGCTGGTTTTATTGCAGGCATGCCCACACTACTAGTCACACCTTCACTTGCTGTGGAGACATGCTCCAAGATACAGATACATGCTTTAACACGTGTGCAAGCCAGCACAGTCTCTCCATTAAAAATGAATCCTTACATATCAGCCGGCCTGTCCAATAAGGAGAAAGCATCAGCTTGCAGGCAGGTAATGGAAAAGTAAGCAAGCACAAGGGAAATAAGAGATCCCAAATTGTGGTGTATTTGCTGGTGGTCTAAGACGATCCAATGGATTATATTACATGGACCCACCTCACAGATACACATCAATGAATTAAATGTCAATAGAAAGCTAAAATACACAGAATATTTTCCAATCTTTGAACTTTCCCTGCCAGTCGCATCCAGGCTTGCTACCTGATTGTCAGTGGACCGGGAAGCAGTCGGGGCAGCTGTGACTGGGAGATGCGGCCGCTGAGGTCCGCTCTGCAAATGAGTCTGAGGACCCTTGCTTTTAAGCACAAAACAGAGCTCTGCCTCAGAAAAGATGGAGGCTGGGACCACTTAGCGTGGATAGGAACCAGTTGAAAGAGCAGAATCTGCACCGAAGTCTCACAACTAAAGCCTCTTTGGCAGGACTGAAACCTGCAGCCGTTAGAACAGGGGTGCTTGGCCCGCAGCCCAGAGGCCAGCTATGGCTCCCACTGCCATGTCATCTGGCCTGCAGGGCTCACCCTGGGTTCATAGGATGTACACCGAAGGCCATGGCCCTGCACACAGGGTGGCGTGGGGCCAACACGGGCTCTCCAGGACAGATTCTGCCATGGGAGGGGGGCTGATTGGTATACAGACCCAGCCCCAAGCATCATGTTGTCTGTCTGCATGCAGTCCCTCGGCTTTCTAAATCTTCCTCTTCCGGAAGGCGAACACAAGGATGCCCCACTTCACCTGGCAGACAGACATTTGACACGTCAGGTCAAAGCAGCCATGGCTTGTCTCAGCCTGCACTACCCAAGCTTCCACTGGACTCAGCCCGCTGTGATGATGAGCTGCCAGTTTTCAGTTGTTTCTTAGTTAACAATTTCACATGAAACATGATAACTGGGACCTCTCTGTATCCTGCCAAGTCCCAGCCCGGAACGTGGTCTGTTTCCTGTTGAACTCCAAGCCTCTGACAGAAGATCTTAACATTCCCACTGAAAACCCTCTTGTAACTTTTCGTATTTGAGACAAGTAAATACAGAGGCTTAATCCTCTCATTAGCTACACCTGAATATCATCTTTCATTTACAAAGAAAGCAAATCCCTGCCTTTTAAGGGATGAGAATAAAGATAACTTTCAAAATATGACTGCAGGTTGTAATGTAGTGATGCTCATCTACCCACTTCAAGAGGCATCAACTAAACCTGGTCATCTCAACAAGGAACAAACTGTCCAACTGTACTTACCCGAATGCCCACGGTGTTAGCTCTTTGGCTACTGAGACTATCAGAGGGGATCTTCATGATATGCTGTGTGGGATGTTTATTTTGTTCCCATACATGGGTCAGGCTTGAAGGATAAGGATACCACCACTGAAAATGAGGCTTACCCTACAGACTTTTGCCACGACTATGCCAGTCAGAGGGACAATCCCCGCCTGATAACAATTGCACTGGCAGAAGCCTTTAATGCAGACACTTATTCCAGGAGAACTGGGCTAGTTTATGGAAAATGGTTCAATGATCCCAGTACAAACACAGTTTTGATGGCAAAGCGGTCTGCACAAAGAATATTTTGCTAGTGTATTATACTGGTACAAGCAGTCCCAGCGTAGGCACTGACCAGCTAGGCACATGATCTTCAGCAAGGGGAAGCTGAGTCTGTGGTTCTTGACACAGTCTGTGGATTTCCCGAAGGCAGCCAGTAGAGCTGAACACAGAGCACTTAAGTTTTTTTGGAGCATTTGCACACTTTACTGTGCAAGACATTTCTTTTTGGCATTTCAAGCAGGTACAGCTCAGTTGCAAGTGCCACCTGGACCATGGGTGAGGCTTGGAAAAGGAAAGCTATCACCCTTCCTTGCCTACTTCTATTGCCACCCCAAATTCAAGCCCTGGCCTTGGCACTTAACTCTCATTTCAGTTCATTTGGAGACCATGCAGAAAGCAAGTAATTAGAACAGTTTTGATGGTGGTGACATGCATGCATACACGTGTGGAGTGGCTGATGAAAAGCAGAGATCAGCCACTCCACGCATGTGTATGCATGCATGTCACCACCATCAAAACTGTTCTAATTACTTGCTTTCTGCATGGTCTCCAAATGAAGGGGCAGGGGACCGGGGGGGACACAACACGACACACAGGCCTCCACTTCTACCCCAAACATACTGCCTGCCTCACAGAAGAGCCACATAAGCCACAGTAAACAGGGCATCTCTAATCTGTTGCGCAAAGTAGGATACATTTGAAAATAAATAAATAAATGAAAACCACCACACACAGAGAGGCAGTGCACGGTTAGATGTCTAACCACAGGCCTGAGTGTTAGTACTCATGGTTCTACCGCAGAGCCAACAACGAGGAGTACATTGTATCTCACAACTATCACACACATCTAGAAGGCATAGATAAGAAAAGAAAGGATGAGATATTCAAAACAGGACAAGGAGTCCTAATCAACAATATACAATGCTGATGACCCTGTTTTAAAGTTTCTGCTAAGGAGAAGTTCAGAGTGTGCTTTAGTGCCCTGAACAGCACTGGCAAGAATTACAGAACGAGAATCCATGTGAAGGAAGGCCAAAACCATGACCATAAGCAAACTCCATAAAGCACAATGCTAGTAAGGTCTACACTTCAATGGCCAAACAGAGAACTCAGCGTGTAGCTTTCTACTTTGATACCATCAAACGCACACTCTTGCAACATGTTCATTCAACACCTTCCAAGGCCTCTATACTGTAGAAAATTAAATGTATCCTGCCTGAGATTATAAAATGTGACATCAACCCTCCTGTATGGCTGTGAGAACTAAACATGTAAAGACACCAAGATGAATTAGAGCATCTGAAGTTTGATACTATAGGACACTTGAAAAAAAAAAATCAGCTGGATGGCCAAAAAACACAGATGAAGAAGGACTGAGAAGGACAAATAGACAAGTAGAGCTACTTGAAATACTAGGTAAAAGGTCACCAGACGACTGGGTTCCAACACCTCTCCTATAAAGCAAAACAGAAGGGGGAGAGGAATCAGGAAGGAGTAAGAGAGCCGGTTGCTTTGGAAGCTCTGTAACATGGACTGGTACGGAGACAAGGATGTTTAGTTTACAGCTTTGTCATGACTGTAAAAGATGGGAAGTGGAGACAGGCAGCCTCCAGATTAGAGATGTCACTTCCACATGGTGCTTATGGACAGATTATACACAGAAGTAAAGAATTTATAAAGGAAGGGCTGACAAAAGTTTAGCCTCGTCTGTTCTAATTGGAACTGATTAGATAACAACCAGACACCAACTGACTATCTTCACATTGCTCTTAAGAGAAAGAGAAGTAGAGATCTTCCTACTATACATAAGTGAAAACCAAGGCATGAGGAGGTTAAATGACTCACTGAAGGTGACACAGCAGATCTGGGTAGAACTGGGACCAGAATGCACTGCAAGTCCTGAGTTTTGCCTGTTGTTCGGATTTCCCTATCATCTCTGCAGCACAAGGGCATCACTCTTGGACAATCCCAGATATCACATTACTTCTCTAGAAGAATTTCTGCCAGTGACACTCATCCCACCGTCTCTGAGGACAGAACTGGACCAGTAAACCATAACCGTCACCTTGCTGTGAGCAATGGAGGAAAATAAAGCGGAGAAAAGGGAAGAATGGAAAGAAAGTGACAGAAAACTAGCTACCTGTTTTTTCAGCACCTGAGTCAAGTATATCAATATTGTACCTTTCACAGGGCTCTGTTAATCAGATAAACTTGTAAAACAAGCAGATTAAAAGGGCAGATTAATAATGATTTCTATACTAAACAGGATTCTCTCCAGGCATGCTTTTTGTAACATACAAAAAGCACAGTACTGCCAGGGCATTTGGACATCCTGACACAGAGGGCAGCTTTAACAGCCAGTTTGGGTCAAATTAAATGAATCAGATTCTAGATCCCTGTAACCAGAGTACAGAGATATGCTCTGTACAGACTACAAGGTCCAGCATGCAACATTCCCCCTTCCACATCACAGTAGCAGAAAGGCTGGATCAGAAGGAAGCTCTGGGCATTAGCAGGCTGCCCTGCATTGAAGAGGAACATTTGCAGACACTGGCGTCCCTCTCCTCACCCATTATGTTGAAAACCCCTTGAAATACAGATTGCATGGCTGTAAAAGCTGTCATACCCACCTTCATATCCTCCAGCAGAGCCTGGGGATCCTCAATGCCTTCTGGAACGCACTTCTTGTTCTCTGGGAGGGATTCAAGCTTTTCAACCAGGGCTTTCAAACCCTTCAGCTCAAACTCTGTGAGGTGAGTCCATTTGGTGGAGACTTCTGTGGCTGGTGACCCTGTGGGCGTTTTGGGATAGTCCGTGGGAGTTGTCGACTTCACGCTGTCATCTGACTCATTGGACAAAGTTCTTTTGAGGTACCGCATTACTGTGGCTTTCTGCTTCCTCCCAGCCCCTTCCTTCCCTTCGGAGTGTGTGCTGTTGGGCGAGGAGGAGCCGTCACCCACAGGTTTGGTGTTCTGATCCAAGCTGTCATCCTTCTCCTCCCGGGGGTGGGCATCACAAGATTCTTCATCCATGTCTAACCAGGAATCTGATGAGAAGCTGTCTATGCTGCGTTTTCTTTTTGCATCTGAAAGAGAGAAAGATAAAATTATTTTTCCTAATACAGAACCTGCACCCTATTCCCACCTGCTGATACAACCAGCTATTGCCTGATCAGAGAGGCACAGGGTACCACCCAGCTCTTCCGCGTGTCAGGGAGTAAACTTAATTCACGTGTTTTTAAAGAGTTTGGTTAACTTGTATTCAACTCATGTCATCAAGCAACATTTAAGAAAAGTGTGATCCATGCAAAGTTTCAGTCTCCCACCTGCTCCAGGGGAAAGCCAAGAGCAATGGTCAAACACCTAGAAGAAGGTTTCGGACTGGATACAAGGAAAAACTTCACGGTTCATGTGACCAGACTCTGGAATGCTCCCAGTGGGGTGGTGCAGGCACCAACCTTGGAGATCTTCAAAAGGAGACTGGACGCACACCTTGCTGGGGTTATTTGACCCCGGCAATCCTTCCTGCCCAGAGCAGTGGGGGCTGGACCTGATAATTTCACAAGATCTCTTCCAGCCCTAAACTTCTGTGAATCTGTTCAATTCACAGGGGAAAAGCTCACAAGTCACACATTTGGGATGCATTTTAAACTTTCCAGCAAAACCAAACATGACCAGATTTAGATTCTTCCTATTTCTAAGATAAAAGCCCAAACAGGAGGGAGAAAAAAATGCCTTTTAAAAGTCACCATCACTCCTTCAAGCTTTCTTTAGGGATCACAGAAGAGACTGCTTTGCCTAGTTTTTCTTTGGCAGGTCACTGACAATGAAGTTAACATAGTAATGGTGGATTTTGCAAGATAGCTCTCTTCCAATAATCTTGCAGCATCATAAATGCCTCTTCTAATTGTGAGAGGAAGGAGTAAATAATGCTATTTCAGAGATGGGGAATCTGAAGCACAAAGACAAGAGGAGAATAGCCCAGTGTAAAAACTATTACTATTATTAACACAGCCCCAAATGCACACAGGGCAACCTACAGATAAATAGAAAGGCACAGTCTCCAATTGGCAGAGCTTACCCTAGCCTGGGCTTTTTCCACTGAAAATCCCACTCTCACAGAGTCCAGGCGAGTGCCCGTGGTGACAGCATTTCTAAAAGGTGCTGGAGAAAGCTCCAAAGCTCTGATCTCTTAACGGCAATGTTGATCAGAGCAGTTCTTTCACAGAAGATCACACAGACTAGCACCTTCTTTGCTACTAATGCTGGCAGAGTTGAACTGGGGTTAGCAACAAAAGGGAAGGTCTAAGAAAAAATACTCCTGGAGGCAGAGTTAATTAGAGCTTGCACTAGTGACACAGACCAGCAACAGAAATCTATCCACAGGAGGATGAAAGGGGATGCAGCACAACACAAGCGAATGAGCAACTAAGACCATTCCTCTCCAGTTTTCATTTGCTTATTTTCACCGTTCCAAAAACCTGAGTCCACCCACAGTTTGTCTTCAGTCAAAACTTCTACTGGACCTCCCCACAGATTTTGCCTGAGAAAGGACAGAGAATCCAGCTACACTACAGCAGTAAAACTCCCAGGAAATACAGAAGCAGAAAAGCCAAAAGGTGCCGTTGCAAATCTCCCTGACAAAAGAGCCAGCACCTTGTCTTGCACAGGTAGTGCCGTCTCCTTGGGAAGCATGAACAGCACTTACCAGGGAGAAGAGAGAAAGACAGAGTCAGCAGCAGCCAGTTGTAAAATGGCTACTCTTGGGCTACCCTTGCTTAATTGCTAACTTCAAAGGGCTTGTGCCAGAAAGGTATTCTGGGGGAAAAAAATCCTTAAAAGGCTTTGTGTACGCTGGGAAAACGAGTTGCGTTAGTTAACACCTGATAGAAAGGAATGGGGCAGTTCGCACTTACCAGGGGCTCCCGGGCTATTGTTTGGTGTCTGCAAAAATCAGACCACGTATCATTCTTTCAGTTATATTTGGGCCCGTTTTAAATGCTCTCTGTAATACCGTAATGGCTAGAACCTAATTTTGGAGGGAGTTTTTTTAAAGCTGCACTGTTGTTTCTTTAATCCCAGATTCTGAAGAACAAAACAGCAATCCCAAAAAATAAGTACTAGGCCACTTGGATCAGGCTGGACATGGCCAGATTGAGTCCTGGCAAGAGCAAAGGTAAACGTCCTCCTCCTCTCTCCCTGGCAGTAAAAGCTTTAACATAATCAAATGCAGCCTTCAGTGGTGGTGCATCTATTATTCACAAGGTGATAAAGGAAGGGAAGGCAACACCTTCATAGGTCTCTGCTCACTTTCCCCAGTGCTGGGTTACCCTGCCCCCCAGCTTTGTCTATGCTAGGAAACTGAACCGTGCTAGGAAACATATAACCTAACATTCAGGTTAAAAAAAAACACTACCTTTTTAAACACCATTCAGGGTTGTTACAACTGGCTAAGTTTCTCATTTGTCCCCAGAGCTGAAAGGGTTTTATAGTGCTGGACTGTAATCACACATTCCAGAGGCACCAGGAGAGACAGTAACTTACCCAGGGTCACCCAAAGCTGGTGGCAGAGGTATGACCATGAGCTTGAGTCCCAGCCTATGGCCTGTTCCCCTAGGCCTCACTGCCTCTGTTAACTGGAACCTCTGTTAACATCTGTTTGTTTAAAATGTCACCTGTGTTATGTCAGGGGTCATTAGCAGGGGTAGGGAGGCCTTGTCAGCTGCCAGCACGAGGCGCAGCTGCAGTAGAGCCAGTGTTTGGGGAAGAGAGCAAGTCCCCGCATGAGACAGGTGTCCATGGCCCCAGTTCTTTGATGCAGCTGCAAGGGTGCAAGTCATGCACAGTCACAGCACTGAGACAGTTTGCACTGGTGTAGGCAGGAGTTAAGATTAACGAGAAAACAAGACATTAGCTCCAAACTGGGAGGCCGCTGTCTCCTTTTCTATTTGTTTGTTGTCCAGTTCTCTCTAAAGAAAAGGGCCTCACTGACCGGAACTGAGTAAATCCCCCAGGTGAGACCACTTGCAAACTAGTTTTCCAGGCTGTTTCCTAGTTTAGGCTCCCACCTGGCTTAGGAAAGCAGCTTACAGAACAGTCCTAATAAGGGTTTAGTCCATTCCTTGCTGTCCCTTTTTAGACCATCCTATCCCAAACATGGTCTAAATGGCCACATGGGAAAGGGGTCTGAATTTTTCAACATGCTTAAATGCTTTGCACTGTTCTCACCATTTAAAGCAATTTATTAAATGGATTACAAAATACAAGTCTTCCCCTGGCATCAGCAGCTGCCCATGAGACTGAGATCCCAGCTGATGACTTAGTATGGCACCGTGGGGCCTGTGGCCATCACTGTAAATGTCGTACGCAAACTACGTCTTCTTTTAATCTACACCTCTGCCCTTGGCCTAGGCACAGCATGTTTTGCTCCAACTCCAACCAAACCCTTCCAAAAAGGGCAGGAAGGGAAACAGCATGAGCACATCGTTCTGGGTATGGGAACCAGGGAGATTTTGTGGTGATGTGGTCCCATGCAAGGAAGGGACATGAGTCTGAGTCCCAGGCAAACAGCTAGGAGCTTCTTGCTTCTAAAGCAACTGGCTCCTTCCATCAACGCCAAGTCCTCCTGAGATCAACAGCCCAGAGGGCCATTGTGCTTAACTGCTGCCCCTTTCTACAGCCCACAGAGCACAAGATGGTGATGCAGGCTGCATCATATCTGACTCCTCTCCAGCCTGAATGACTCTCTCATAGCTGGGTCAACTGGGGGCAGCCTTTGGCTCTGGGACAGAGTGGGGCCTGAATTCACGCTCTACCAGCTACAGTGAGACACCTGACCACTGTGCCATATACTCCATTAAGTCCATCTTTGTCTTTGGGTATAACATTTCACTTCCCCTTCTCAGTTTGCCCACCGGTAGAGCAGAGATGACTGTACACAGCTGCCTTCTTTAACAGAGGATTGCATTCTTCGAAAAGTAAAGGCCAACAACAGCTAGGTATAATAATTAATATTCTTAACTTCCCTCCACCAGTACATAGGAAACAATATGCATTCTTCTGCTGCAAGAGGAACCCCCATTCATAGACCATATCTGGCTCTCTGGCTTGTGAGCAGGACGCTTCAAGTAAGTATTTTTATATTGGCATGTTAAGAGAAATGATGGCATCATTATTGGCACAAAGCACTAAGGACTCCAGAGGAATCTGATTGCATGGAGCTTCCCAGATAAAAATCACTTAACATATTCCACGATTTCTCTGTCAATGAGCAGATCCACTATACTGTCTGTGATAGGGGGAAAAAAAGGCATAGCACCTTCACCATCACAGAGAATGCTTTTCTATTATCTACCAGGCTGAATGTACAGTCAGAGCCCTCCTGTGAAAACATCTTACAGTGGAAATATTAAAAGCTGCAAGATACAGAGCGAGCATGTTACCGACTAGCGCTGCATCTTCTCCCAATTACTCTTTGTCAGTTCAGTCTCAAGATTCCTATCTCATTGAAGGACACATTTAGGTCAATTGCAGTTGAAAATGTCCAGCACGGACTTGATAAAGATAAGAGTAAGAATCCCGAAGACATGTCCATCTCGGAGCAGCACATGTTCAGATCTGGTAGGGAACTCATATAGAGCGCCCTTTTTGATTCTAACCAGCAAGACGAATGCCACAGTTGGAGGGAGACGAAGAATGAGATTCAATGCTTTGTCAGCCGCCTGCAATTGCCGTAATGTCACTGCTTCCCCTGATCTCCTGCCCTCCTATGGAACAGATCAGAGAAATAACAGACTCTCACACACTAACCAGGTAGGAAAGCTACTGCCTGGAAAGTTATTCTGTGACTTAGGAACAGGGAAGAAAACAAGATCTCTTTCTTCCATCCCATTTCAAATGTAGCCATTGTATTTCAGGATCTGTATGTCCACACAGGAAATCCTTATGCTGTAACTGTAGCACCACAATTATAACACAGTAACTACACCAGTAAATTCCCCAGTTTAGATAATCTTCCACACTGGGACTCACTTCTGAATTTGGGGTTCTTAATCTCAGCATACTTAACCATGATGTAATAAAACTAAGAATGCAATCATGGGAAGTTCACCCCAGTACCACATTGCACAGACTGGTACAGAACCAAAGACATCTGTTACTGAAGGGGGAGTAAAATCAGGAAGGCAGCAAAATCTGGGAGACTCTCAATGGACCCATCATGACAGCAACTGCTGACCTACCCAAGTGTCATCTGAAGCAGCAGTCTGTTGAGACCATCAATGTCATGTTTTTGGAGCCGTTTACTCTGGAAAATACCAGAGAGGAACTTGTTTTCTACATAGCCCTGTCCAAACTCTGGAGATGGAATTTTAGGGAATTAAAATGTAATCTTCTAGACTGGAATCTGTCTAGGACCCTGGGATTAACACCCTTTCTTATATGAAAAATACTGTCAGATCGTTACATAAACCCAAGTAATCATGACTTTCCAAAGACAACATCTAAGAACAGCACAGCAAGCTCCATCATCACATGGGGCACTGGATCCCCCCAGATTCAGTAAAAAGCCCATGCAGTGAGTTCCAGAAACCAGCCCCTTCAGCAGTCTGGTGTTCTCCTTGGAGATCCCCCCCTCCCACTACAGTCTTAGCCAGGCCTCCCTCTTCTTAGGTTCTGGAAGCCAACAAGGCTACTTTCTGCAGCAGAAGGCATTCGGAAAAGTTAAAAAAGCAGCACACCTTGAGGCATCCCTGAGGATGAAATATAGCAAGCTTCAAAGGCCAAAAATGTATAGATAAGCAGAATGTCAGCACATGTGATGCCAGGGAAAAGATATGGTGGGGGGAAAAAAGCAGCAGCAATCAGCCACAAACAGTAAGGCTAATCGTAAGAGATTCCCCTAAAGAATGCATGGGACTCAGGAGACCAAGGAGTGAGGAGGACAGCTGAAGCTAATGCAGAGGCTGCAGAGAAGTTAAATACTTTACTTCACTATTCATCAAGGAGGACTGTGGGCAAATGCTTCCTCAAAGGGGGCTCTTATGGGAAATCAAGACATCACTAGCAGAGGGAGAACTCTCCCAGGAAGAAGAGAGGATACAGCACCTTAAGGACCTCAACAGTTCCAAAGGAAATATGAAAAGTCAAAGCACCCAAACTCTTGAGACCATTTAACCTCCTGACTCTTCTACACAGAGCCCCTGCTCCTGAGGTTGGTACTGCTTATCTCCTGAACCCCAGGTGATGCAACAAGTGCAGGCCAGGGAGTTTCACTTGAGTACTGGAGACATGACCACAGAGTATATATAACCAAGAGCAGGATAAGGAAGCATTAGAAGTCACACAACTCAGTGAAAACAGCCAGCACAGCTCCTCTGAAGAGGAAATGCTGTCTCTGCTCTGGTCTGTTAAAATTCTTTGAGAAAAATACCAAATGTGGTGACTAAGACGTGACTTTTTGAACAGCATTTGGTGGCTCCTTCACAGCAAATTACTTAGGAGATAAGTTCCTGCCATGAATTAAAAAACAGCTTGTGACAAAGATGCATAAATGTCCGCTTCTTAAAGGGGGATGAAGTGTACCTAGGTACCAGGGAGCCAAGGTGTAACATGAAGTTGGCTCCAGCCTGCGGATGAACTCCACTTTTGCCAGAGACCACTTAGGAGCATAAAACATGTATGTCTGTCCAAGCCAGTGACGGTGGATCAAGATCCTCACACGTGAGGGTTGGTAGTGTTACTGGAACCTACTGGCTACCTGTTTTTGATCACATCTCCCTCTCATGGCTGATGCTTTGTTACCTCAAGCAGCAGTGGTCTGCACTTTGGGTGTGGAAGTTCCTAGGCTTTATCTCTTGTATGCCTCATGCCCAGCTCTACAAAAGCATATTCATATGGATATGATCGACAGCCTGGGGAAAAAGGTCAAGCTTCCAACAAGTCACTGAGAACTAGGGAGAGCTAGATTAAAGGAGGAATTTGAACAGTTACTAAAACATACTTGATTGTCCTTTGTTGCTAAAGGAACAGGAGCCTTCCTTACATATAAACCCATTCTCACTGCCCAGGCCTAGAGGCTATAGAGGAAGAGACTGTCTCACTGGAACTGCCATGTAAAAGCTTAGTGCGCTTTGTCTGTGAACGAACTCCCTTCCACAGCACCCAGAGACTGGACATCTCCCCACTTCCAATGCTCAGCTCAGCACTCGCTCCAGCTCAACCTTACAAACTGCCCTGCTCCCGGCCCTGGCCCCTCGTGCCTGCCAGGTGTGAGCTGTCCTGATGTAACCCTAAGGCAGATGAAAAGGTGCCTTGACCTTAGAGCACATTCTCATTACTCAGTGCATCCTTCCTCTCCTCAGGGCACTTCAGAAACTTGCTTTTTACATCTAAGTGTTTCTACAGGCAGCAGCTCTTCAAAGATTGCTGCTGCTTCTCCAGTCACCTGCAGCATCCATCTTTTATCCTGACTGCTCCAACAATTTTTGCCCTTGTGACTTGTTTTTCATGGTGACCTTTTCCCCTCCAGGGCTTCTATGTTCTTTAAAGTTCAAACCACTGAAAACTGTGGGGGCGGGGGAGTGAGTGTGGAGGAAAGCCAGGGCCTTAGGAGTTTCTGACTCACCAGCTCTTCAGGGGGTTTTCAAGATGTCATCCCCCCTCTCATCCTTTCTAATCTATTGCCCCAAAGTTCCCTATTTTTAACCCTTTCCCCACAGCCACACTGGTCATTCTGCAAGACCCCATGTTCTTCTGGCAGCAGGCATCTAAGGATTCTGGATCTGCCATACAATTCTCAGTTCAAGTCGCTGTAGTGCTCCTGAAAAGAGCTGGCCCCGCAGCCCATGGGATATCAAAGTACTCACTGTATCCAGAAAACAGGTACAACAGGTGCAGTGACGTCCAAGCTTCTCCATGCTGCCTCAACCCTAGCTGAGAATCACCACTTCCAGAGCAAGGAAGTGTTTAACCACTGTGCCCCATCAATCCAATGATTTAATCTAGTGAGACTGCTGCCACAGGGCTTAATTGGTGCCAACTGTTTTTCTTATATGCTGTTGATGCCTCTTCAGTAGGAGCAGGAGGCGAGACACATTTCACAAGGGTCACCAGACCGCTGTTGGTCATTACAGAGCTGACACGGCAGAGCCTGAGAAGGGAAAGGCTCCATGTCTCATGATCAATCTCCTGAGCCATCCAGTCTTCACACTTAAGTTGCTCTGAAATGTATTGATCTCATGCATCTTACTGATCCTGAACCCCTGCCTCTTCAGCAGGAAGAAACTCTTTCCTACACTATGTCCAAAGGACTGCAACACACTTCCTAGGGGATACAAAGGCCAACAGTTTTGTCCTTAGTTCTTTGAAAAGGCAATCCCAGGGGCTAATTCACTCCTTCCTGTAGGACAAGACTGCAGAAGGGAAAAGCTACTCAGCACAAGGCACAGTAAACTTCAGGAGTTCCTGACTCACCAACTTTTCAGAGGAGGGGTTTGATGACCCACCAAGAAGCCATGAAATGTGACCCTCCATCCACACTGATGTGCTGAAATCTGCAGGAAAATCCCTTTGAACCTCAGACTGTCTCCACAGCATCAGCTCTGGCAGCACCGTTCACTCAAGTGCAATGCTCGAGACCAGAGCAGACCCTCTCTGAACTGTTATGCTGCACTGGGTGGCCATTCTCCTCTCTGTTGCTGGCCACTCTCTCCAAAACCTCTGCAGTTTGCAAACATAGTTTTCACAGTGATGTGCACTGGGTGTTTACAGTGGGGGAAAAGGGTTAGATGATGATACTTTAGCTCCTCTGCACTTCTGGATACACCACTCTGATTCAGCTAATACATCGGCTCCTTGTAGCCCTTCTGAGCCCCAAATCATCAGGATGACGTGGCCCTGTGGCCCTTTCAATGAGAAAAAGAGCTGACAGGCCAGACTAGAACTCAGGCTGTAACACCTGCTCCAAGCTCATGACTGCACAGATACCTGATGCTTTCCCACTTTGGTAACTTGCATCCATCTCTGTCATGGTCCATTTTCAGCTACTGGTTTTCAGTTATTTTCACTTTCCTGATTCAAAGAACTGAAAGTCAGTCCCCAGTTTGGGAGAAGTCAAACCAGAGATTAAAGGAAAGAAAAAGGAGCCAGATCTAGTGGCTGATAGAAATGCATTCTGTTGATGAAAAGCGCTATAAAAGGGCTAAAAACCTAACTCACCAGAGCACATTTGCAATGCAGATGTTTCTGGAGGATAAGGGAATATGCCAAACATGACAGTAAATCCACAAATGTTTGGCAGATCATCTAAATATAAACATTACTGAAACCAAGAAATAAATAAATCTGAAATTATTTTTCTGGAATCCATTTGCTGAAGGAATGCTCAATAAATATCATCCAAGGAAGGCTGGCGCTTCAGTGAAATGACTGGGTCTCACATCCTCCCCACCCCCCAATACTGAAATAATTCATTAGGTTCTCTACAGTTCTCCACTTTAATTTACAATCTGCTTTTCAGAAGCCAAAGCAGCGACTAGCCTAAGGTGCCAGCATCCATTCTGAATATGCACTCGAAGGATTCACTCACCAATTAACATTGATTCTTTCTGGTACTCTTTGCTGAGGTGACAGCGCTGGGTCACACAGGACACGTATCTCTCCAGAACATACCAGCACATTTCATAGTAGAAAGGATAACGGAATTTGGCATGCACCTGAAAGCAAGATTGAGACTGTCAATCCATGTGGAAGGGAGAGAAGTTCGCAGCATAAGGGCCAGTCATCATTCTCATCATGTTATCAAGAGCACAAACAGTATGCAGGAGGGGGAGGGGGAAGAGGGTGGGAGCCGAGTGAGATGTATGCCTTCAGCATACGAAATGAGGAGACTGCCTGCCTGCCTGCCTGCCATGATAGCATCGTTTCTTGGTTCACTAAATTGTACACTCTTGGGGTGATGGGAGAGGAGGGGGTTTGTGTTCTTGCGAAATCATGAAACTGATGGATGGCCCCCAGAGGTATTATTCACCTACTGTATAAACATAGGGTGGTCACATACAGATGTTAGTCACTAAAATTCAAGTTAAAATAAAGGTGGGCTCTTTTGACTTCCTAAATATTATTCCATGATTTGTCAAAAAGACAGCATTACCTACAGAGAGCCAAGCAGGAAACACGATCCTTGTCAACTGTGGTCTTTACAGTACAACAATTCGATTAAAGAATGGAACACACACAAAGTCGTGATGATTGGTACGTAACGTTCAAACATTACATAAAAAACCCTCCACATTTCTACTACACGGCAATATATTGGTAACCAATTAACATTTGCCCTGCACAGAACAGAAAAGTGGGATTCAACCAAAAGATCCTGCCAGGATAACCCCTTCCCCTACGTCTCAGACCTTTTGTTCTCACGCTGGAAGCTGATTCTTTAGTGCTATGTATGTGTGATACTATTTCACATTTAAAAGGAAAAGAAACTGCTATCTTCCCCCACCTGATTGTTAAAGTCTGGGAGGACCCTGTGCTAAGGAATAAACTGGGGAGTCCTGAATTGGGGAGTAGGCATGTACCTAGGCAGATGTTTTTTAAAAATGGATGCCATTCACAGGTACTTACACTGAACAGCTCTGCCTCCCTGCAGGCGCAGAATGTGCATTATGTGGACTTGAGAAAACCTTGCATGCATTCATTGCCCCAGGATGACAGGCATGTCCTGTGCAGTTTAACTCTCAGCTAACCAACAGGTCTAGCACACATGTCCGCTCACCTTTAACAAAACGTGGATTTCACCAGAAAAGATCGTTGTCTCAGGCAGCCCGTTTTTTAAAAACAGGAATCTAAAAAGATTGACTAAATCCAGCAGCTGGAAACTCAAAATGAAAGCTGGCTGAAGGGAACAGGTTTTTACACACCTGTCTGGAGATCTGAACATCCACTTGCAGGATTTAGATACCTTGTTAGAGTAGGCACATTTGAAAATTATGCCCAGCACGGAAACAAAAATAGCCTTGCATTTGCTCCCAGGATGGGGGACACAGAAACACTCTCCACAGAGAAATAAAATGTAATTAAGGACAGATAAACTGGGCTGCCCCACCAATTGCATGGCAAGGTATTGGATAAATAATCCAAAGTAAATCCAGGAGCTGAGACTTCATAAACTCAGCACAAATACAGATGGCAAATCTGAACCAGATGCTGTCACATGCTACTGAGTGATGTACCCAGCACTGCTTCATCATCCCAAACATCCCTCTACAGCATGCGGCATAAAGCAATGCACTTAAACAAAACAAAACAAAACAAAACAAAACAAAACAAAACACAACCTAAATGTAAGAGCAACATTCATCCCCAGGGTGATGCTATATTGGAGAATCCTTTTTCCTTTTGGCTTGGTTACATGTCAGAAAGAAAAGATCAAGTCACTTATCACTATTACAGAACACAGGGGAAATTAGCCATGCTAAAATATATGCTAATAAAGGAACTCAAATTTTTCCAAGAGAGCACTGCAGGAAACAAAATTTGCAAAGAATTGACTTACAAACAGGAAGCCGCCTTCCACCCCTCAGCCTTCAAAAGGTTTTCAGCCACATGCCTGGGAATATTAAAGACATCATTGCTCAACATTTGTTGACAGATTCTGAGCTTTACCAAATTTAGTTGTTACCAATGTTAATTCAATGTGAAAGACAAGGCAGTAATGCATGCAGTGCTCCCATTATGTATATCAATCTTTAATATTCAATTTGAGTTCCTAATTGCCTCGCTAGCTATGTTCCAACCCACAGCAAACCCCTCCATGCCTCTGTAACTCACTATTTGCCTGAGAAAGCTCTGCTTTTACAAACCCTCAGATGTAAAAGCCACCGTATGTACATACTGTGCAAAGATCTACAGTGCCTTTTTGCTACCCAGTTCAGTCTAAGGTTGACAGTGGCTTAAGAATTTCTTTAATGCGCTTGATATAAATGTAAAAAGAAGTACATCAGTTATGATGCTCCAAGATAGTTATTAGTTCTAATGGACATGAACTGTCTGGCATATATGCCCATATTTTGTTTCATTGTATATCCACCGGTCAAATGAACTTTTATTTGAAAAGAATAATAATTCTAAAGCCAAAAATTATTTTGACAAATTTGAAATTTAATAAATATCTCGTATATGCTCTGTCAGAAGATGACACCCCACACCAACAAGAAGAGATAGTTGATCATTTAATAGGCATTTTCCAGCTCTAACTTCTATGATTAATAATTTACAGTCCACTGAATGCATTTTTTTAATTATTCCTGTATAGCAAGAAAAATCCTCTCTGGAGTATGATCCTTTCTAGAGTTCAAAATGAAATTATTTGAGAGACTTATACAAAAAAAGTACATATAAGACACAATCTTCTCTAGAAATATTAATCTCTTACACTATGTCCATAAAAAAATCATTATAAATGCTTCTTGCATTTCATCACTGTAATCACAGTATTCTTTTAAAAATACTTCTCATTAAATTGAATGAAAAAATTCAAACTGATCAATTTTAAATTTAAACTTTAAGTTCCAGAAAATAGAATCAGTAGCAAACACCACCATCTGTGAGTGACCACCTTACGTATATATTTTGAATGCTTTTGTCTTCGAACATGTTCAAATACATTAACAGGGCTAAATTTAGATGGACTGAAAATACTTTGACGTTTCTTCTTTGGTGATACTGGAGCCATTAACACTTCCATGCCAAAATGATGACTGCATGGCAGCCTGCTTTGCTGTTACCCAAACTGGTCTAGCAGAGAGCTAAAGAGCTTGGCCTGTTTGACTGGCTGTTAATTGGCTTCTAGGAAAGCCAGACTGGAAAATGAAAATCTCTGCAAACTGTAAGGCTAGCGAATATTTGTTTACCTCAACTGCACATTAGGAGCTGTTTTCAACAACAGACATGTTTTTTATTACTCCTTAAAAAACTATTTTTAAATGGCTATAACCCTCTTAAAAGTCTCCCAGGGATATGAGAAATTAAGCTAGAATAAGCATGACAAGTGTATAAATTAGACAATTTTATCGGGCTTTAAATCAGCATTACTGTTTCAACCATGTATTACTCTCATCTTAGCAGCTAAGACAATAACAACTGCACCTAGCATAAAAATGGCTTTGAATACTAGCAATCAAAGATGATTAAGCATTATACAGCAGGTTTAAACACAGTGAAACCTCCATAAAATTGCTCTGTGCAAAATCAGGAGGGGAAAACACACCTATATTACACTTTGATTTGAGTGTGGCAATTACTTTGTGAATCACGTCATGTAATTTACTTCTGTGCTATACACAATGAAAAGATCGATACTCACAAGAAAGCCATCTGCAGTGTATTCACTGGCAAATTCATGTTAAAGTACATTGCACATGATCTACTCAGTTAAGATTATTGGAATAAAGCAGAAATTACAATATTTGATCCACAAAACAAATGGAATAGTACACCCCAGCACTCCTTTCATTTTGAACACATTTACTCCTTAGAGATTCTCTTTTGACATTTTCAGCATTTTTATTGCTGTTTTACAAAGAGAAAAAAAAGGGCTGACTTCTCCCATCTTTACTAAATTTATATTTTCTTTGCCACATTGTACAACAGATCTGTTTGAGTACAGGGCCCATAAACACCTTTGTGATCACAGGACCGCTTGTAAGCACCGGACTGCATATACAGCTTTGTTATTGTAGGGTTGATCACGGGTGTTGAACTGCATATAGTGCACTGCTATCACACAGCTGCATGTGAACCAGACACATCTGTCATAGCAGGGTTGCCTGAGTTCTGAACTGCTAGCATATATTTATTGTAAGCACTGGAGTATTTAATGGGAGAAAGTGACTGAGTATATCACAGTGTTCACACAAATGATCTAAAACAAAACCCACAACGGTATAGGTCAATGTGTGGGTCTTGGAACATAAAGTATCCCTTTCTAAATAATGATTTACAGATAATTTTTCAAGACACCACCATCATGCAGGTATCCAACTCCCAGTGACTGTCAGTGGGAGATACAGTGATTTTGTCTTTCCAAATGCTCAACATCAGTACTCCACTACGGGGGAATTCTCTGTGTCATCAGGAGCAACCAGGCACCCAGCTCCCAATGAAGGGGCTGGGGATTTGGTATCTGACCACCTTAGTGACTTGGAGAATATACTCCTCAGTGGACAGCTGACAAACATTTGTAAAGTCAAGCTCACCCTGACAGCCATGGACAGGGCCTGACTTGCAGAGATGCAGGGCACTGAGCTCTGGCTGCTCAATTCCTATGAAAACAGGGCTCTGACTCATTTATTAGTGCAGAAATGCTATCAGTCTCCTGTCCGTCTTCTCCATGGTCACATCTACGTGATTCATTCATTTTGTTTCCAGCGTCCATCTTTTCTCCACCTCCTCTCCACCAGTGCTGACAAGTCTACCGACCTCCTCTTCATTTTCTCCCCTCCTGCACACATCTAGACCCCACCATATGTTGTCAGTCCTTCCTATACAAGTACTCTATCTAACATCCCTCCTTTCTGCTCCATCCCAAGGCCATTCACCTCTGGCCTGGACTACTACAGCCTCCTCTTCCTTGGCTTGCCTTCAGCATCTTACCTCCCCTCAGTCTATTATAAACCCTATGGCTCCCCCTCTTGCTCTTCTGATCACATCGCTA